AATAAAGTAATAAGCTTTTTTTTGAAAGTAAAACTTGCAGTTATTCGTACTATATGACAGTACAGATTCGGACGAACGTACAGAAATTATACTAAAGTTTGATCATATGGTTAATATAGATTTGCAAGTTCCAAATTTTATAAATATCCATTTTAATGTTTAGAGTTAGAACGAAAACAGGTATTGTTTAGAGTTAGAACGAAAGCGAGTATTCCTTAAACTTAGATTCCATGAACATTGGCCAATCGGATAAATTAGTCCTGTGCAAAAACGCGTAAAACTGTGTTGTTGTTACACGAATAAGCAAAAATAGGTATGTGGCGTTACATCCGGAGAATGCCACAATTACGTTTTTGATATAATGCATCAAAAACGTAATTTCAGTCATCAAAGTGCGTAGAAGTATGAGTCTGTCGCTTCGCTCCAGACAATAAATACAGTATAAATTATACTAATAAAATATACTAATAAAATCTTCTAAAATATGCTAATAAAATCTACTAATATAACAATATAATAACCTTATTAATCTTGTATAATATATTGGCTTGATTTATTTTACAGTATTTACAAGTTTTTTGATTTTCTGTATAAATAAAGCTAAGTGAATAATATAAAATTCCTATAAAATTTTATTTTGAAATGGTGTTGATTTTCTAAACAGGGGTTTATTCTTATACTGTTTTTATTATAAATTTTTTTTTTCTCTGAACTTGTATAACTATTTTTATTCAGGCAAACAAAAAATAAGCAATTATGTTTGATAATATTTCTCTTCCGCCAGTTGAAGAGGTTCAAAAATGGACGCGAACCCACGTTATTAATTTCTTACAAGAAAATGCGGATGAAGATAAGTTAGACCTTGACGACGATGACATTGCTAAAATTAAAAAAAATAAGGTCAAGGGCATAGTCTTCCTTAAGCTAACTCTAGAAAAGCTTCTGGCCTCCCCTTATGAACTTCCCGGTGGACCAGCAGAAGTTATAGCAGAATTAGTAAATAAAATCAAAGGCGAAGGAGAGGGTAAGTAGTACCACGACTGCATTCGAATATTCCAAACCTATACTGCTTTCTCCGCAATAATTTCATTCATTCTTTGATATCTTTTATACTTAGGTCAAACGAAAGAAGCGGATGTAATTTTAAGTAAGTTTATTAATTTTACGAATCAGGAGAGAAAATCACCCGAAAAGCTTTTAATAATAGTGTTTTTTTCTTTTTACTCAATAAAATATCGATAACAATCCACAGAAGGAAAGATTTTACAATATTGCCAACGATATAATAATGAACATTCTAAAGCTTCCGATAAAGTTGACTTCATGGGTTTTAGCTCACGATATGTGCCAGAGCATCCTAACGGTTCTTATGAAGATGTAGTGAAAGAATTTAAAGAATCACAAGGTAAGCAAACAACGTGATTATTCTTGGAAACAGATGATATGATTATAATTTTTTTGTATTACCTTATAATGAGAAAGTTCTTACCCATTTTTATTTCATATATATCTTTTAATATTTAGTTCAAGGGAAAACGAATAAAATCTCATGTAAGTTAATTTATCAACTATTTTTAGTTTTATTAGTTTTAAATTTTCGATTTAATCATATATTCTATATCAGCTAAAATGTTTAATCGTGAAGAAATGGAAATCGTCCGAATGGCTTTTGATAGGGAATTTCAAGACCCAAGTGATCTTTTGAAAAGGTTCAAGGATTTCATAAATGAATGTTCATATAATTACAGAAAGACAGGAAATTATTACGCTCCGTACACGACCTTAATTCAAGCTAGTGGCGTAGGAAAATCAAAATTATTAAAGAAAACTGCAGAAGACATTAGAACCATATACTGCTGTTTTCGTGACCAAAATTCAAGTGGCTATCCACCAAGATCATATATTGCCGATGTACTATTATCTAAGTTTAGAGATGAAAATGATGCTTTATCCACCTACCTTGCTTATTTTTGCGCATGTGCTCGAAAATCACAGGAATTCAAAGATTCAAAGGAATGGTTCGAAGAGCATACTTCTGAAGATTTGCAGGAGGTTTTCTGGAAGGACGTTGAACGTAGAATGAATGATATTAAAAAAATACTGTTAGATGAGCCTAAGGAAGACGAAAAAAAAGCTAAGGCAGTTAAGGAATACTTTGATAAAATGAAAAATGAAAATATATTGACGCAAGACAATACAGTTAGATGTCTATTCGCGTTTGATGAGGCCCGTATTCTGGTCGATCAATCTGGTAATGAAAGCCTATTCTATTATCTTCGCCTTGCTTTAAAACTTTTACCCGAAGATGCAGGAATTTT